GTGCACAGTCATGTTGGAAAATGAAAGGGCCATCCCCAAACTGTTCCCACAAAGTTGGGAGCATGAAATTGTCCAAAATGTCTTGGTATGCTGACCCCTTAAGAGTTCCCTTCACTGGAACTAAGGGGCCAAGCCCAATCCGTGAAAAACAACCCCACACCAAAATCCTCCTCCACCAAACTTTACACTTGGCACAGTGCAGTCAGGCAAGTACTGTTCTCCTGACAACCACCAAACCCAGACATGTCCATCAGATTGCCTGACAGAGAAGCATGATTCATCACTCCAGAGAGCATGTCTTCCCTAGTGTCCTAAAGACCTGTAGTTACCTGATAAAGAATTTGATCCCTATTAAAAGTGGAACTTCACTCTCTCTCAATCAACGTGGACTATTTCTAATCCTTATGCTGGTAGCATTAGTAAATGGATAGAAAGTATATCATATTTACATGTTGTAAACTTTTTTTTTTTTTTTTTTTTAACATTTCTTCAGTTACTTTCTGGTTTCCATGCCTAGGCAAATGATGTCATACACCCCAGGAGTCTTCACGAGGGGAGGAAGGGTTCTCAAATCAGCCAATGACTGAGCTTGGATGGATTCCAGGAAGTAAATGCTACATGAATCATCTGCCCTTACTCAAGATGGCCACTGCCATAAATGCCAGGGTGCATTTTTCAAAATGATTTCAAACCTGCAATATCAACAGGACTGACCTTCCTTTTCTAAGAGCTCCTGCTACTCTCTTTAACTACAGTAATCCATCTTCCTACTTAATAGTCCTGATTTACCCCTTCACTAAATCTATTCTGATTTACCCCTTCACATCAACCCCATTAACCACCTGCTCAAAGAGCAACAGACTATATTCAAGGTTGTCTGGTCCACTCAATGTTTCTCTTTGCTCTTCCAGATCTCTAATGTGAGCTTCCATAAGGAAGAATGTTTGGCAAATTAGAGGACCTCTATTCTGCTCTACCCCATACCATATTTTCTCCCCTTTGTACACTCAAAGGGAAAATCAGATTTTCCCTATGTGGAAAATTAAAACAATTGGAATTATTCATTCCACTAACAACCAATGGTGGGATGAATTTTTTCTAAGAAAGTATAGACTGTAAAAGATGACATCCAGAGGCTTCAGGATTCTCAAAACTTGTCCCTTTCTCACCCCTGGCACCCTAAAAGAATGGACAGCCATTTTTGAATTTTGTACATTCAAATGGATAGACATACTCATCCTACACAGACATTCCAATTTGAACAATTGACTAATCTAATACATATTTTAGCTACATAAATCACTGAATCAAAGAGCCCCATACCTACCTCTTGGCTTAACACCCTCAAAAAGAACACCAAGAAAAAAGAAGAAGACCATCTTATCAAAACCAAGCTCAATAAATTCTTTTGAGATCTTGATGACTACAATCCTAATACAGTTTTCACTTGGAATAAACAACGCCATGATATCCCTTCCCTTCTCATCATAGACCCTTCCGTTATACATCCCATCTACTCATCTGCCCATACACATGGCTCGCATTCATCCACATCTGTCTCTCGGTCTCCCCGTTTCCCCATTGTTCTATCAAAACCAACACCATTACCCAAACCTACTCAGAACACTATATCCACGAACCCCAAACCTGTCTCTAAAAAGACCAGCACCAAGGAACTGACTTTAACCATTAGCCGCCCGGCCTATAGCTGTTTGGTGGCCGCAAAAATGCTGTAGCTTTCAGGGTGCACGCCATTTTGCGTGCTCCCGCACATGCGCAGTTTGCGCTAATGCAGAGCCGCGCAGCGGCGCGATCTGTCATCGGCCGTGTACCCCGGACACGGCCGATGACAGATCTGAGTACCGGCCCCCGTTGCCGGTACCATGTGACCTGCTGTGACCAATCACAGCAGGTCACATGACAGTTGTATACAATAGATGGCTTCATTCATGCCATCCATTGTATACTAGTGCCTAGCTGTGAATGGTCACAGCAGGTCACATGCACGTCATGTGATTAGCTGTGGCCAAATCACAGCTAAGCACAAAAAAAAAAAAAAAAAAAACCTGAATGAATCGATTTCATTCAGGTAAATGCTTGCTTATAAGGTAAAATATACAGTAAGCGCTCATCAGTAGTGGCAGCAGCTGAACATAAAGGAAAACGCATATAAAGTCCCACAATTCATATATATAAAATGCAGCGCTTGAAAAAAAAAAAATGATGATAAAACACAGTCCAGTGAAAAAAGTGCTCCGTATTTCCTAGTGCAAGTGGTAAAGATTTACACTAACCAGATAGCGTAAAAAATATACGCATGTGTATATGTATCCTGTAGAGTCCCCTTCTCCACTCAGATCTGGTCAAATAAATAGCTGGAAAAGGTAGGCATCCTACGCCCTCTTGTGGTAAAAGAGTGGTCCAGCAGATCAGAACGATGCCAATCAGAGTAAGCCTTCCCCCTTCACAGGAGTTGACAAGGAGATCCCTTGGGGCTGTAAAAGTTGAGGAAGCTTTTCCCTGAGGTTATGTTACTCCATGTGCTGGCGTCCATCTTGATCCAAGATGGACGCCAGCACATGGAGTAACATAACCTCAGGGAAAAGCTTCCTCAACTTTTACAGCCCCAAGGGATCTCCTTGTCAACTCCTGTGAAGGGGGAAGGCTTACTCTGATTGGCATCGTTCTGATCTGCTGGACCACTCTTTTACCACAAGAGGGCGTAGGATGCCTACCTTTTCCGGCTATTTATTTGACCAGATCTGAGTGGAGAAGGGGACTCTACAGGATACATATACACATGCGTATATTTTTACGCTATCTGGTTAGTGTAAATCTTTACCACTTGCACTAGGAAATACGGAGCACTTTTTTCACTGGACTGTGTTTTATCATCATTTTTTTTCAAGCGCTGCATTTTATATATATAAATGCTTGCTTATAGCAAAGTAATTCTTTGCTATAAGCAAATTGTGTAAAACAAAAAAAAATACTGATCACTTCCCAAAAGTAGTACAGTGTTACTATGGTAACATTGTACTACTTTGGTCATAGTAAAATATGAAAAAATAATCTTAAAAAAAATAAAAAAAAAATGTAATAAAAAATAATAAAAAAAAAAAAATATATATATATATAATTTTTTTTCATACTGTCACCAGTCAGTGTCCCTGTTCACTGCCATGCCAGTTATATGATGACGCTGTACTGCACTGGTGACAGTATGTAAAAATAAATAGTGAAAATAATTTTTTTAATTTTTTCATTTTCCGAAAAATTATGACAAAAAAAATACAACTTCAAAAAACTCGCCATTCCTCTTATGAAGTACGTCAGACTGTCTACTCTGCAAAAAGGGGTCATTTGGGGATATCTGTACTATTTTGACATTCTTGGACCTCAAGAAATTAGATTGGCTGTCAGTACTTCAGGATTGATCAATTTTCAGATCTATACCATAGTTTGTGAACTCTAACTTTCCTACAAACTAAATAATACATCCTAATTTGGGTTATTTTCACCAAAGACCTGTAGCAGAATACATCTTGGCCTAAATTTATGAAGAACAATTATTTATTCGTAAACTTTTATAACAGAAACAAAGAAAAACGTGTTTTTTTTTCAAAATGTTTGGTCTTTTTTTGTTAATTTAGCAAAAAATAAAAAGCCCAGCGGTGATTAAATACCACCAAAAGAAAGCTCTAGTTGTGTGAAGAAAATTATAAAATTTTAGTTTAGGTACAATGTTGTATGACCGCGCAATTGTCATTCAAAATGTGAGAGCGCTGAAACCTGAAAAATGGCCTGGGCAGGAAGGTGTAAAATTGCCCGGTATTGAAATGGTTAAATACCTCATATAGCAGCTGTACCATCTATGCCCATCTTAGCTCACAACCCTCTACTCAACTTCAAACCTCCCCCTGATTATTAACAACATTTCTTCTTATATTCCTGATTGCAACACTATTAACATTCCTTCCCATGATCTACCTGACAATATTTTGGAACCATCCATACAATATAATGCGACCACTGGTCCATTTATCACTACACCACCATTAACTATTCAGACTGGTTCCACCTCCACTTCACTACCTTTTTTATACCCAAGTCCCCCTCAAAACATAAACAGCAACCTAAAAAGAAAATTCACAAAAGAGGATGCCGAGGGAGACAAAAACGAAAACAAGCCAAAACGTGTGCAGAAAATACGCAATCTGTAAAAATCTTCAACCTATCCACTCATAATCTTCTGCCAGAAGACGTTTCTCTTCTGAAACGTGGACTCAGTTTTGCCCCTACCACTAGCCCCAACTCATTCATACTGTTCAAAGATCTCAACAGATTCATTAGACAATTGACCATCAAAAGATATTACCACATCCAGTCCCTTAACCACTTGCCTACCAGGCACTTATACCCCCTTCCTTACCAGGCCAATTTTCAGCTTTCAGCGCTGCCGCACTTTGATTGACAATTGCGCAGTCATGCAACATTGTACCCATATGAAATTTTGATCATTTTTTTCTCACAAATAGAGCTTTCTTTTGGTGGTATTTAATCACCACTGGGCGCTTTACTTTTTGCGCTATAAATTAAAAAAGTGCAAAAAATTTGAGAAAAAAAAAAGTTTCTTTGTTTCTATTATAAAATTTTTCAAACAGGTAATTTTTCTCCTTCACGGATGTACGTTGATGAGGCAGCACTGATGGGCACTGATAGGTGGCACTGATGGGCACTGATAGGCAGCACTAAAGGGCACTGATAGGCAGTACTAATGAGGTGGCACGGATAGGCGGCACTGATAGGCAGCACTAATGAGGTGTCACGGATAGGCGGCACTAATAGGTGACTGATGATGGGTACTGATAGATGGCACTGACTGGCATCACTGCTGGGCACTGACTGGCGGCACTGACTGGCACAACCGCTGGGCACTGACTGGTGGTACTGACTGGCAGCACTGCTGGGCTGCACTGGTGGGTGGAACTGGTGGGCAGCACTGGTGGGTGGCACTGGTGGGCACAGGTGGGTGGCACTGGTGGGTGGGCACAGGTGGGTGGCACTGCTGGGCACAGGTAGGTGGCACTTCTGGGCACAGGTGTGTGACACTGCAGAGTGGCACAGGTGGGTGCACTGCTGGGCACAGGTGGGCGGAGCTAGTGGGCGCACTGCTGGGCACAGGTGGGCGGAACTTGCCGGTGGCACTGCTGGGCACCGATCATCAGGGCAATGATCATCAGTGCCCTGATGATCGGTGCCGATCCTCGCTCTGACAACTGCCGGTTCTCGGCAGTACTTTCCTCACGATCTGACAGCGTGAGGAAAGTGCAGCCGAGAACCGGCACTTGCATTTCCCTGTGATCAGCGTGTCATTGGACACCGCTGATCACGTGGTAAAAGGCCGGTATGATTGGCCTTTTACCACATCTCGTGATCAGCTGTGTCCGTAGGACACAGCGATCACGGAGATCGCCGGGTACGCGCCCCCTGGGGCGCGCAGGAGAGCGCGTTCTGGGGGGACGTCATATGACGTCCACCCAGAACTGGCCGGCCGCAGTGAAGCCGTCATTCGGCTATCTGCGGTCGGCAACTAGTTAAACAGCCTCCCCTCTACCTGAGACCAACTCCCCTGCTCCTTTAACTTCCCCCTTACTGCTCGATATTGATCTTGATCAAGACATTCTCTCCATACTCCAACAACTCCATGATGACCACCAAGATCCTGAACTTGACTTATTAACCCGACATCTAGCTACCTCTTCATCCATAAAACATACTTCCTATAGACCTAAGTCCACTTTTTTTCCCTCCCATGCCAACGGTCCCTTTGTCAAGACCTTCTACAAAGTTGTTTATTCTGAGTTACTGACACTATGCAATACCAAAACATCCCTATGTGATAAATCTCAAGCCAGCCGAGAAAACAGCCTTAAATAACCTTACCAATAACACTGACGAAATCATCAAACCTGAAGATAAAAGGAGGTGGCATAGTCCTCTAAGACAGAACAGAGATAAATACAGACCGTTTTGCCTTCTTAGACTTAGAAGTGAATCATGAGAATGGCCATTATTTTAGTCCAAAACTACACAAAGTACACATCAGGTAATTCATTTTTACATTACCAGAGCTGCCATTACCCCACCTGGAAACAAAACATTGCTAAAAGTCAAGTCTCCAACAAAACTGTACTAGATAATCTGACTACATTGAACAACACACTTAAGAAAACATTTGTTGAAAAAGGATACCTTGATACACTTATAGTAGAAGCCTATAATAGTAGAAGCCTATAATAGATAATCTATTAGGCAAACCCCGAAAAAAAACAGACCAACGGATGATTCTGACCTTATAGTCAGATTCACCACCAGATTGCATGGGAAACATCGGAAAATGAAAAACATTCTAAACAAACATTGGAACATCCTACTGGAAGACCCTCACCTAAAAGATATCATCCCTCATAACCCCACCATCACCTATAGAAAAGCTCCTAACTTAAAAAATAAAATAGCTCCCAGCAAACTCAAATCCGTACAGTGCAACTCAGCACCTTCCCTATTCCCCACTCCCATTGTGGGCATGTATCAGTGTCGCAAGGTCTTATGCAAAACTTGTTTTTTTTTGTTCAACATGGCCAAAAGGATTTTTACAACATAGGCAATCAATATAAACTAAATGACTTCTAGAATTGTTCATCTACCTTTGTAGTATATTGCCTTAAGTGCCCATGTGGCCTCCTTTATGTAGGTCGCACCACCCGCACCCCGTCCAGATTTGGCAAACATCGTCGTCGCCTAATCAAAGGGGGCAAAGATGAACATAGCATTCCCAGAAACTTTCTAGAGACCCATCAAAAATCCGCCATTGGACTTTAGGTTTGGGTTATCGAGGCCATGCCCACTGATCTCCCTGAGCGCTTTCATAGGCTCTGCCACAGGGAGACATTTTGGATACATACCCTTGATACCATGTCCCCAGTTGGCCTCAATGAGGATGGTCATCCTGTCATTTAACTACATCAATTTTTGTTCACGTGGTTTATTCATCTTTTCTCTTGGAGGTGATCCATACCCTAATATCCATGGGTGGTCATAACTTTAGTAAGTACCGCCAAAAATAGATGTAAGATTATAGGAATCCATTCTTGGCTATGCAATTGTTTTTTACCATCTCCATTCTGTTGATGTATCACATACATATATGCATGCATAGACATTACTTTATTCTGTGTATAAATATTTTAACTCCACCTTTGTCCTACATACATTAATTCCCATTGTATTCTATCCAATTGTTTACATCTCTTCATACATTTACACACCTTGACTACCAATGGCTTGGATGCAGCTTCAATCAATAAATACTTCTCTCCTACTGAAAACTTACAAGAATGTTCACTATGGATTAAACACATTTACTAAAATGTGAATTACAAAAACTAGAAAAGACTTGGGAATTATTTTATGCCATTACAGAACTTCAGTTTTTAGGATGCTTACATTATGTACATATTATCAGCAGATTCATGAGGGATGTGTTAGTTGTTAGTATTTATTTTTTTCTTACGCAGTCCTGTGGACTCCATCCGGGAAGCTGTATTTACAGTGTCTCCAAACAGGCAATATCTTGGCATTTTAACGCCAACTACACCGGCAGCACATGGACCTAAGTGCAAAGATAAGATTGTAACTCACAATTATCAAGTAAAATAATGTAAATGTAAACTAGTGCATTTTCATTAACACTTTTTGAGTTACTATTGCAATGTTTGCCTGTTTTCACTTCGAGTTTTTAAAACATAATCAACACAATGTACTTATACAATACCAAGCAAATATGTCAACAAAACATAATGAAGAGAGCAGGAGCATGTTACCATGACGTGACCATGAACCACAGACTAGGTTGAATACTTTTTATTTTTAGGCAGTAACTTGGAAAAGTGCATGGACAGAACATGATTACTTTTTAGATTTTTGCTGGTAGTTGTTGGGACCAGAAAAGAAGTGCTATAGAGCCAGAAATGGAAGTGAGGGGGAAGGAAGAGGCGCAAGTGCAGAATAGGTGGAAATGGAACTGAGGAGACAAAGATAATTTAAAAAAAGGGTAGGAAGGTGTTGAGTCTCATGCAATGTCATATTTTCAGAGAACAAAAGTAAGCCTGTTGTGGGACTGTCTGTTGTGGGGAAAGATAGGCAGGATATTCTGTGGAGTTTTTAAAGCCAGTTCTGTAATATTGGATTTTACAATTGATAATTGTTAGTTTTGGTAATAACACAGGAGTACCCTTTTTTAAGGGTATGGTTACTTTCAAAGAGTTGAAGTGCATGGACTGACAGTTTTTAGCAATTGGATTAAAATAGAGCTCTTATATTTCTGTGGTCAATTTCTGAAACTCTCAAATAATAGGACAGTCACATGAAATGCACATCATTGGACCTCCCTTCTTCCCTTTTATACCTTTAGCAGAGGGGAGACAACTCTGGGTAGATTCCATGGAAGGTCACTTGGACTCTACACGACCATAAGAATAATTTAAAACCAGCTTCATGGTATCAGATGACATTTGAATATCTGCCAAAAATTTTTTTTTTTTTTCTGAAAAGACTGTGTGAGAATATCATTTGGCCATTTCTATAGGTATTACAGTGCCTCTTGGTTTTCTGGAGTGGCTAGCACTGAATTAATAAAATATTGTTGCATTCTGGCACATTTTAAACAAAATTGTAAAAGCAGGAACAGCCCGTGGAGCAGACTATTGAAAATATAGAATTTGATAAAAATGTGCCCACTTATCATGCAATATAAACACTGCAGCTACCAAACTTTTATTCAACAGGTGTTCTGCTTTCAAATTTATAATGTTTAGGGGTTTAAATAATTTTTTAAACAAAAATGCATATTTTATAATGTATGCAGAAAAAAATAAAAATACGTAACAAATTCTTAGTTTTGTTGGATTCATAAATAGGGCTTAGATAGCTTGATTTGAATGCATGTTTATGTATGCGTGAATAGTTAACTATTTTTATATGTACATTTTTGATGCCCTAATGTAATCAGCATCTGTCATATCTTTCTGTTCAGTATGGATATCACTCTGTACATCTTTTTTCTGTGTAAATGGTAGCTTCCTTGAAGAGTATTTTATATCCTAAAGCAGCCCCCGCAGCGGTATTGTGTTCTGCTAGGAGGAGGGGGGGGGGGGGTCATGGGGAGCCTTCCCGGCAGGCAGAACACAATGATTACTGCTAGCCTCTGTATAAAATATCCTACAGGCTGGTTGCACCCAAGTCCTTTGATGGGTCAGCATGCCCATACATGAGTAGAAATGCAGCCAGTTCAGAAGGGAAATTACAGTGTATGGCCTGCTTAAGTCAAAATATTCTTTTGCATTACAAAAAAACTCAGGACATCGCAAGCTTTATTTTGATGTTCTATTTGTGGTCTCAGGGCTTGATGGATTTGATCAAACTTGAGCTGGACTGCCGCAGGGTTTGCAAAGGAACATATTTAAGATGCCAGGTACTGTAGCCTCCAGGATGCTACCTGCCATGGCTTCGGGGATACTTGAATTGATGAACAGTCAAATTATATTCCTGCTCCTCCTGTGCAACTTACAGGCATGTGATTTGCCATTGCAGTGATTTTCTAGATCATTCAAGTGAAATGCTGTTATTCTGAAAGGTATGGATTTTATCCAAATCTGTCTTTCCATAATAAATTTTTATTTGGTTTTACAAATATAGCTACAACAACAACAAATACATAAAACAGGACAGATAAAAGCTACCCAATATCACAGTATAGGTGTGGTAAAGTTTAACAAAGAGAAAAAAGGAAATACTGAATAAATCATAACAATCCTACTAGTTCCACAGAATAATAATTTTAGAGTATCCAAGAAAAGGTTAAACATAATAATATCTTAGGTTACAGTTCTGAACCAGTCGGACCAGGGCTTCCAAGCTTTGTCAAATTTGGTAATTCTATTGCTTAGGTAAGCTAAATATTTCTCATAGATGAAGTGGGTCTAGACTAGCTCAATGACTTCTTTTAGAGAAGGGGCTAAGTCTTTTTTCCAGTGTCTAGTAATGGTAAGTCTTGATGCTAGAAGAATATGTATCACTAAAAGTGGATAATGGATTGGATATGTGTCTATATTTATATTCAGAATGGTTAGGGTAAGATCAGGTTGTTTTAAAATCCCAGTAATTTCTGATATCATGTGGAAAACTTTATACCAATAGCTTCTAATATTTTTACATGTCCATAATATATGTAATAGAGTACCAATCTGACTGCAGTTTTTCCAGCATCGAGGACTATGTTTTTCTGAGAATT